GGGTAGGAGTTCGTGTTCATCTTCTCCTTCTTCATCTGCCAGAAAGCCTGCTTGAACTGTGGGAAGTGCTTCACAGCAGCCGAGTAGGTGTCCTGCTTGTCGACCAAGACCGGCACGCAAGTAGCAAGATTCTCGAGTGTGTTGTTCCAAATCTGCATCCGCGCCTTCTTGTCGGTGGCATCTGCATGCGTCTGCACACCGCACTGACCCAGTCGGCGGAAAGGCTCGTTCACACAGCCATAGTTCACAAGAAGGGTCTTGAGCTTCTGCGGGTCCAACTTGCCCATGCAGAAAGGGGCGACCTTCTTCTTCTGGACCAGCCGCTGTGAGTAGCACGATGTAATGCGGGCCACAGGCTCGCGGAAGTTAGTCAAGCACGAGACCTGCTTGCCGGACAGCGACGTCATCATCTCCCGCCAGCAAAACTCGCCGCCATAGACTGCGGCATCGGTGACCTCGTTCTTGAATGCTCGGCAATCCACTTTTCCGGAGCACTGGATGTGAGGCTTCATCTTCAGGGCAAGCGACGTGTTGTACAACAGCTTTCGCATGGTAGTGCCTCCGGCCCGATGCTGGTGCATGAACACCAGGGGCCGTGTCTCGGACACGTCCTCGTTCTTCGCGGGAAGGGGCTTGTTCAGAAAGCTCTCGATCATAGCCACCACGTAGTCCGTCTGGTTCGCCGAGCCCTTGGCTTTCGAGGCACCGGCATGAGCCACTGCCTTGGACTCCTTGGCCTTGTTGCCAGGCTTCTCAGCCTCGGCGGCATGAGCTGCGGAAGCCTTCTCGGTGGCTTCAACGGCTGCAACGGGCTTGGTATCCGTCTCCGCCAAGGCGACCGCAGGCTTGGGCGCCTCCTGCACCTCTGCCTGGCCATAGGCGGGGGCAGTCGCATCCTTGTGGCCGAAGATGTCCTCGAAAGTCCACATCTCGGTGCTGGCGGCCACCGAGACGCCGGCACTCGACTTGCTGGCGGCCTTCGCGCCAAGCTGCATCGCACACTGGCTGTCAGTCTCAGCTGCAGCTCCAAGTGCAAGCGCGACTGCGCATGTCAACCTTGCGAAGATCATGTTGGCAGGTGGGGAGTTCACTCACGATTCTCGGTTCAATAAGCTGCAAAAGCCAAAGGGCTGCGGAAGACACCTGTGCAAACCGAGCACGTGATAATGCGGCAGAGCCTGCCACATGAGCATCGAAACAAGACTGCGTAGAAAACACTTCATCTCTCTATGTATAGTAACATAACTGCAAGGGACAGAGAAGCAATCATAACCACGCGGGCGCAGGTACATCAAGCCCGCGGCGCACGAACCTCTTTTTAGCTTTATGGACCCGAAAGATAAAGCCCGAAAACACACATTTCGCCCCCCACCCCCCCAAAAAAAAGGCGCTAAGTACGTATAATACTCACTCGCTCACTCACTCACTCACTCACTCACTCACTGACTCACTCACTCAGAGTCACTGTGTCTCTATATACTATTATACATATTGCATGTTTTTATACACATACACACACACACACAAGAACATGCATACACATATCAAAAAATATCTATACATATATACGAGTATGTATATATATATATATACACACACACGCTTGCATATGTACATATACGTATATCTCAACACAGCTCCTTGTAGAGTGCCGCTCCACTGCCACCAGCAGCGAACAAAGCAGCGAAGTGCTGGCGACTTGGCGCCAGAAACCTCAGTCAGCTGCAAGGCTTAGGGTGCATGGTTTACCCATAGGCCCCATATGGCCCCATAGTAGTTCCTTTTCTGTGGCTTATATGTTTAGGATCCTATTAGATACTCCCAAAAAGGAACTACTATTGGGGCCTATGGGTACAGCTTAGGCCGGGTTAGGGGCTCGAGGTTTACAGTTAGGGCTTCGGGGTTAGGGCCTTTCGGCGCGCTCAAGTTTAGGGGACTTGTAGCGCTCTACATGCAGAGCTGGCTCTTGAAGGTGTGCGTACCCCGGCCCATACATCATGCAGCAAGGACAACATTCTCTAACTTGCCTTGCGTTTGCTCTTCGATCCATTTTACCCATCCTCAAAGCTTTGGATGGACGATGCGCCGAACCCTGGTGGAAAGGCGCGCGGAAGAGTGCCTCTCAGAACCCGCCATCGGCTGGGTTGCGTCCTTCCGAAAGGATGCGCGGCACTCTGACAAGAGATTATACAAATGTCCTCCCAAACCGGAGGCCGAACAGAACGGACCACCTGAATCCACGAAGCACTGGCTGGTGACTCTGGTCTTACCTACATATGCTTCAGTTCGCTTGGCCATCGAATCAGGGCTGCGTGGAGCGGGGATCACGCGAAAGCCAGTCGTCCCTGCAAACAAGGGGCCCGGCAAAAATGATGGGGACCAAGATACCAAGCAGTAACCGAAGTCCCCACAGTCAACACGAGAGCGGCACTTGAATTCTCTTGAATTACAGCTGTCACAATCTTAAGCCGTGCACTCACCAAGCTTGGCGAACGGAGGGCTGCTCAAGGTCCGGGCTCGGGAGGACATTCAGCTTCCTGGGCTCCACAGGCGTCGCTTCGACCTCCTTGAGCCGCCGATGGAACTCCTCGTCGCCCGTCTGCGAGGCCACAAACCGCTGCAGGAAGGCAGGGAGCTTCTCCCAGGCCCCGGGAATGTAAAGGAAGACGCGGCCGGAGAAGATCATGAGGAAACTCCAAACAAGCAAAGCTCCCAGAACTCCGACTTCGATCTTGTACGTGGTGATCTGCAGCAGGATGCAGATCGTGGACGGGATGGCCTGCATGTAGTCCGTCCAGTCGATGTCCTTCACTCCCTCGATCATAAAGACGCCCACCATCACCAGTGCCGGTCCTGTAGACAGGGTGGGGACGGAGGAGAGCAGGGGCGTCATGAAAATGCAGACAAAGTTCAGGAAGGCGATCACGAGCGCCGTGAGGCCTGTGCGGCCACCCTCATAGACACCGGCCATGGATTCGCCATAAGTGGTCACAGAGCTGGTGCCTAGGAAGCCTCCGACGAAAGTCCCGACGGCATCGGCCATGAAAGCCGCGTAACACCCTGGAAAGGTCTCGGGCTTCTTAGGGTCCACCAGGCCACTGAGGTCTGCGGCTGCATATAGGAAGCCCATGGTTCCAATGAAATCGATGTAGAGGAGGGTGAGCAGAGGATTCCAGAAGCCCTGCCAATCCCCAAAGCCCGAGAAATCCCACGCCAAGATCGTTCCACCGGAGACATCTCCACTGACGCAGTTACCATCCGCATCGCAACCGTCCCATCCGGAGAAGGGAGCTACCAAAGGCCCCGCGAGATCGATCAAGGGAGCGGAGGCGAAAGCGCTGGGAGCGCTGAAGGTCTTCGGAATGCGCCCGGCTCCTCCGATGCAGCCCTCTCCGAACTCGTCGAGCACGAGCTTGGCGCCGGCCCGGCTCTGATAGGACATCGAGGTCCAGCAGCCCGTCTCCACCAAGACTGCATCGAAGCAGGCTGGATTGAAGCCACCCATCATGGCATGGCAGGTGTCCGTGCAACCGCCTTTGAAGGATGAATCCCGCCCGGCAGCAATGCCCTCGAAGTAGAGGCTGCCGCTGTGGTTCCTGGAAGATGAACCGTCCGTGATGGTGTAGACGCCGTTGGCACTCGACACCGATGTGGAGGACACGAAACTAAAGGACGTGCCAGCATCCGTGGTCTCCATCTTACCGTAGCCCGGCACCGTGAAGGGGTTCTCGCAAGTGGGCTTCGGGTAGAACCCACCCCCTGGCTTGGGATACCACTCCACACCCCCGTTTGACGGCTCCGTGTAGGAGACGCTGCCTAGGCAGCACATGGGCTTGTAGGAGAACTGCTCCACCGCCGCCGCCTGCAAGATCCAGGAGAGACAAGCACTCAGCAGGATGCACACCATCACGGCTCCCCGCACACGCAGCAGGATCAGAAGGCTCATGAGGCAAAAGAAGCCGATTCCGATCCAGGTGCGCAGGAAGTGCTCGCCTGTCAGTGTGACGAGGTCGACCAATACCGCCGGATGGTCCCGAACGATGTCGATGCCGTTGCCCGCTTGCAGGCCGATGAAAGCCAAAAACAAGCCGATGCCCGCCATAGTGGCCTTCATCATCCAGGTCGGGAAGACCTTGAAGACGTAGCGCCGGAGGTCAAGGGCCGACATGAGGATGAAGATCACGCCCTCGACCGTCACTGCAAGCATCACCTTCTTCACTGCGTTCTGGCCGCCCTTGAACCCAACAATGGTGTAGGCGAAGTAGGCATTCATGCCCATACCAGGCCAGAGGCCAAAGGGCAAATTCGCCCAGAGCGCCATGATCAGCGTGGCCACACAGCTGGAGGCGGCCGTGGCGAAGACGAGGCCGTCGAAGTTCAGCCCAGTGGTGCTCCTGGCGTTTTGTTGGAGTCTGGGGACCATCATCATCATCATCGTCATCATCATCATCATCATCAACATCATCATCATCATCATCATCATCATCATCATCATCACCATCACCATCATCATCACCATCACCATCGTCAACATCAACATACACATACAAATGCTGATATGTAAGCCTACAATAGACTAGAATACCCGTTTGTGATCTGTAAGTTAGGAGACAGCCTAGCCCTAGTGCATTTCTTACTTCTTGTAAGACCTGAAGTGTCGTTCTAGGGCATCCAAGGCTCAGGATGTTCGGGTTGACGGCCATGATGTAGGCGGCGGTGAGAAAGGTAGTGACCCCCGCGCGGATCTCCGTCGTGAGGTTGGAGCCTCTTTGGGACACCCGGAAGTAGTTGTCCATTTTTGAGCCCCGGAACTTCTTGTCCAAGGTGTTGTCCACCAGCTCCTTCTTGCCCTTGGCGCCCACTTTGAACTCCACATCTGCCATTTCTCGAACGGAGGAGAGAGGAGGGAGATGGGGAGGGCAGCTGCAATCGAAAGTGTCGCTCGAGCAGCGAGGAAATTTGGCCACAGAGACTCATCCTACGGCTGTGGCGAAGTACATACGTTTGCGCACATACCAATAGACAGGCAGAATGCAACAACTGTGCGAGTACTCTGAAGTTTCGCGCTGGCATTGAAAGCCGAAAAGCGGTGGCGTTCTGCACATTGCCGGTCGTTCTCCTTGCGGTGCTTGAAAGCAGAGGCTTTCTCGTTATTTTTGCTGATTTCGGGTTGTAGGGAGCAAATCCCGCGAAGACTTTGCTTTGCATTGGTCCAGGAACATGGAAGGCCGTTCAGGACCGAAGCACAACATATCTAAGCATAATTTGTCCAACAGGTTCAACTTACAGCCAAATGAAGAGCCAGAAGGCTGCAGGTGAAACGACATCGGTATCTGACTCATTTGCCTGGCAAGGGACCCTACCACAGAAGTGCCCACCGCCCTTCGTCCTCTGCCAACCGTCACCATTGCGTCGGATGCGTCTCGAATCGTGGCTCAAAGACAGACTTTGGTCCTTCTTAACTCCACACTCCGAAGGAGCATGTTGAGTCTGGGTTTAGATTAGGGAACCCTTACTAACCCATCCACTGATAGCAGATGTGTTGGGGTTGGCCAAATCAAGTCTCAAGCATCTACAAGGTGGCCAGGAAGGCTGCCGTTTGCTGCCGGCCTACTCGGATATCCTGATTTTTGTTCTTCGTGAGCTAAAATCGGGCTTCTTTCAGAGTGGCGGATCCCAATGTAGGGCAACCACCATCTGAGGTGCCTCTTTCAGATGAGCTCGTGACGCGCAGTATACGCCTCACTCTCAAGCTTCGCCCTTGAACACGAGCAGGGGTTTGGAGTGTGTCTTGTGCCCATCAAACCTTAAATTCTAAACCATGCAGACTTCTGAAGGCTCAGCGATCTTCTGTCTTTTTTCTTGCATCTCCCTGAGTGCAGGAACGACACCAACCAGCAAGGACGGAGGTCTCATGCTGGACACTATGCGACAAGACTAAAGATGCGATGACGCCTCTGCTTCCGGATCGAACTACTCGGGCACTGCGCGCTTGTGGCATTCACGTCTGACCTCTTGTGCCCGTACGGTTGATGATATAATCCTGCATTACCCATAATCATGATAAGGGATATATCATAATTCCCATAGCTTAGGGTCCCAAAGGTAGCGCAGGGTTTATATCATCAACCGTACCTCTGACCTCACTGGTCCGAGTAGGATGCCACAGCACCATGGACCTCGACCAAATGCACGAAGCCTAGCGGCCAACGTCTCTAGTAACACTATAGTCCTTAAAGGGTCTTCCACTAAAGTTCTGATAGTTCTCCAAACCCTTAACCCTAAACCCAAAACCCAAAACCCTAAACCCTAAAACCCTAAACCCTAAAAACCTAAACATTCTAGTTCAGGGCCCCAGGCCTCAAGTGCTGGGAAGCCGAACGGTGCAGCACCTTTAACCCTAAACCCTGACCACACCTCGGATCGAACGGAGCCTCCGCACGCCTTACCTGGCAGCAGTAGGCAGCTTTAGGGCTTTTCTCGAAATCATAAATTGGCTTCATGCTGGTTTTAAGCGGTGCTTTGCAAGCGACGTTCTGCGTGGTTTTCGCTCAGAAGTCGAGGGTACAGAAGCGTCTATGTCTAGGGTTTTAGCGACAGGCTTAAGGCTCTGGGGTACAGAGGTCTTTTGGGTTTAAGGGTTCAGGCTTCTGGGGTTTTCGGCTCTCGATTTTAGCCCCTATACGATTTCAGCATCAAGTATAACGTTAATAATCCAGAACCCATTGCCTGTAATCATCAGTAAAAGCTTCAAACACATTCTGAGATATAGTCTGTACTTCGTCGTAACAGAATCTTACCTCTGATACTTTTATGTGATCTAAGGCAACCCAATATAACCAGAACATAACTTACTAACATAGCACCTTATGCTATGTCATAACGAAATGCATTATAATCCAATGTAGGGGCCTTAATAACTAGAATAGGGTTTTTGGCGGGTATATTCTCCTATAGCTGTAATAAGGACCCCCCTCCAGAAAAAAAAAGCAAAAACTGTAACAAGGNNAAAAAAAAAAAAAAACACATAGTATTGGTTATTATTTGGGCCCCTACACTGCTACGCTTCAGTTGCCGGCCTCTGACTGGGCGAGTGTTTGCGCCTGCCAGATCTCAGGGAGGAGAATCCCCAGGGCCTGGAGCAGAGGCTTTCAGGGGGTTTCAAGGGGTTTAGGGGTTTCAAGGGGTTGAG